GGCATAAAAATAAATTCCTTCTTTCGTTTTATGATACTGGAGATTAGCTAATTTAGATATAATTTTCTTTGACTTCCTTGTTTTTTCTCTATAGAAACATCAAATGTCGCTCCACTGTATTTTGGAATTTTATTAACGGTTTTTTGTTTGTTTTTGATATAGTACATGGCTAATGATGTATATAAGTATATATGTATATAAGTATATATGTATATATGTATATAAGTATATACATATATATATATATTATATATATATATATATATATATATATATATATATATATATATATATATATATATATATATATATATATATATATATATATATATATATATATATATACATATATATATGTATATATATATATATATATGTATACATGTATATATATATATATATATATATATATATATATATATACATATATACTTATATACTTATATACTTATATACATATATATATATATATATATATATATATATATATATATATATATTTATATATTTATATATATATATATATATATTTATATATATATATATATATATATATATATATATATATATATATATATATATATATACCGCTCTATTTAGAAAGTTTACCTTCTTTATTATTGAGCACTCTTAACCAAAATAGAGTTTTGTATTATTATTGTAATACAACATGAAGCATCAGTCGATATATATATATATATATATATATATATATATATATATATATATATATATATATATATATATATATACACATACATATATGTATATATATATATATGTTCACACACATATGCAGTTATGGCTAAAAAAATCTGACCACCCAATATTTATAGTGAAAAACCAATTCTGTACTGTATAGTGTACACATTTATTACTAAAAAACATTTTAATTCAAAAAACATCTAATGTGAACTTTTGCTTTCAATTTTATCTAGCAGTTTTCAATGGGGTTTAAATCAAGTGAATTGCCTGGCCACTGGGCAAGAACATTTTAATAATCAATTTCTTGGATTCTTGTCTTGATAATTTTTGCCTGATAGCAATATGCCTTGTTGTACACCAAGTATCAAACTTTTAAATTTAAGACCAATTAAACACATTGTTCCTCAAAATTTCCAAATAAATTGCATAATTGACAGTCTCAACTTGTGCAGGCACTATATTTCTAATAGGAGGCAGTTGAGCATTAATATGTAAGCTCCACATTTGTACGCCCTTTACAGCTAAGCACTGTATCATTGTGTCAGTTTTTGAAAGGGTTTTTATTGGTCGTTCCTTTTCTTGGATTGATGCAATCTGATGACTCAATGCACTGACTGATATCATAAACAGTTGTATTAGACATCTTCATGCATGCTGCAATCATTTTTTGCCAGTTTTTTGCATAGATCATTTTTTTAGAATACTCTATGAATATTACACCATTATATTATTTAATAAAAATAGTTTTTATTAAATACAGGGTTTTGCAAAGTTGTAAGTGCATGTTTGCAAAGTTATAAGTGCATGTTTGCAAAGTTATAAGTGCATGTTTGCAAAGTTATAAGTGCACGGTTGCAAAGTTATAAGTGCGCGCTTGCAAAGTTATAAATGCATATACATTTTTTTGGAAATTATTTTATTAGCTTTAATAATATTGCGCAAAATATTAAATTAAATTACAGCATAGCAATCAATAAGTGTTTTTTTCTTGTTTTTTTTTCTAAAAAGTGATTAGTTAGTGAAAATTCTTTACATTTTTACTTAGTTTAGCATATTGTTATATATCAATAACTTTTCTAGATTAAACACTTTCATAATTTTTGAAAAATAGTATAGATTATTTAATCATAATATTTTAAAAAAGCATGCAAAAATATACATTATTAAAAAAAATAAACAAATCATTTTAAATATTTTAATTAGATAAATTCTTCTCTTCTTATTGCCTTTTCCAACCATCTTCTCATATTTATATAAAAGGCATTGCACTGTTGACTATAATTATTATCTGGTGATAAAATATATTCTGGAGTTTCTTAAACAGTCATATCGGGATTAGCATTTCTCGTGGATTTGAAATTGGATTTTAACATTGAAAAGAACTCTTCGATTGGGTTCAATTCAGGGCAGTATGGTACTAAAAACTTGTGAGTAATATTTTTTTCTCTTAGTAATTGAAGTACTACAGCTGCTTTATGAAATTTTGCATTATCTAGGATAAGATTTTTATTTGGATTTGCTGCAAAGAATGGTACTAATTTGTTGTTGATGAAATCAATAAATGATTGTGTATTGTATGCGCCGCTTTTGTATTGGTAACATTCAACTCCTAAATTGGAAATTAAGCACATGAGGCTAACATTTTGTCCTTTATTTGCAGGAATTGTCAAGTACGCTTTTGTATCTTTTGGAGAATAGCCATATGAGCGCACTGTATGTTTATTGAATCCGGTTTCGTCTAAAGAAAACAAATTTGAATCAGCAATTCTAGCAACTTCTGCCGCAAAAATTGATCTCTGATTTATTTTTTCCATGGTGTTTCTTTCTTGAGGAATGATTGCTAATCTTTTTGTGTCAAATTTAATTTCTTTAATTTACAGAAACAAACGAGATTGAAATGTTTTTACCATGTTGTTCTAAAATTTGCGGTTGAATTTCTTTTTGAACTACGGCATTGTTACAGACCACGAAATTAAATATTGTCTGTACAATGTTTGTATTTATAGAATTTTTGATTTTATACGTTTCTTTTCTTTTTACTGTAGATGACGTGAAGGGTATATTATTATCACTCGAAATGCTGTTGGTTGTGTTTTTTATAACACAACCAACAGCATTTCGAGTTAAATTACAAGCGTTGGATATTTCCTTGATTGAATATTTTTCACAATTTCTCATTGAAATAATTGTATTTTTAATTTCTTCTGTAATTGTTTTCCGTACTTTTCTTTCCATTGATATTTACAGGGTTATGCAAAATTATAAAGTGCTTTATGCAAAATTATAAAGTGCTTTATGCAAAATTATAAAGTGCGTTATGCAAAATTATAAATTGCTTTATGCAAAATTATAAAGTGCTTTATTTAACAATAAATAAATGCCATTATAATAGTACAGGTCATTTTCAGAATCATCTAAGAATGCATAGGAATTAAAATATAATATTAAATTGTAATTAAAAATTAAATGACTAACTGGCTGAAAAACATAAACCAAATCAGTAACATTTTTATCTAATTAATGCAAGTTTTTTAGATTAATGTAAAAAATAAAAATTTAAAACCTTACATGGCAAGAAAAAGTCGAATAACGTTAACTAAGGAAATTCATGAAACAATTATAAACATGTCTAATTCGATAAATAATCATTCAACCAAATACATTGCCAAAACTTTAAACATTAGCCAAAGTGCTGTAAGAAACTGCATAAGAAATCATCAAGAAGGCATCAAATTTGCTACTAAGGGAGAACGCCACAAGCAAACAATCAAAAAAAAAAAATTTGTTGTTCAGTGAAATCATAATTACTTTATTTAATACGATAGCAATAAATAATGAACTGACACAAAATGAAATGGTAAATGAAGTTAATGCAGCAACCGGTATGGTAATATCTCAATCAACAGTATCAAGGAAATTGCGGAGAATAAATATAACGCGAAAAAGGCTTTCATTGGTTCCCGAAGAACGAAATTCCCCAGCAAATATTAAAAAAAGGGCCATATATGCCCGCCGTATCTCGCGTATTTCTAGTGATAAATTGGTCTTTTTAGACGAATCAGGATTTAATCAGCATTTGAGAAGACGATATGGGTATTCCCAAAAAAATGAAAAGGCATATTCCATTGTTTCCGGAAACAGAAATACAAATCGAAGTTTGATGTGTGCAATAAATATTTCTGGTGTGGTGGCTTATGAATTAAAAACTGGAGCTTATAATGCTGAAAGCTTTGAAAGATTTTATAAGAAATAACCTGTGTAATTATTTCCGACAAAACCCAGACCATATACTGATAATGGATAATGTTCCATTTCACAGATCAAGAAGTATTATAGAAGTTTTGAATGAATTAAGAATAAATAGAGAATATTTACCGGCATGGTCTCCTCAATTAAATCGCATTGAGGAATTTTTTAGCATGATAAAGGCAAGATATCGCGGAATAAAAGCTTTAAATAATGAAATTAATATTAGAGATGCATTGGAAATAATTTTTAATCGAATGCGTGAAATTAACAAAGAATTAAGTGGATTTTGGAGATCAATGAAACGATGGTTGGAAAAAGCTAAACAAAACATGATTTTTGAATAAAGTAGTTGCTTAAATTAATATAATTTTTTTGAAGTCTAAATGTTAAATGACATGAGCTTATATAATTTTGACCAAAATGGTATTCAAGTTCTCTTGTTTCTATTCATTATATTTTCACCTTTAAATTTTCTATTCTTTTTTGAAAGAAGATTTTTTGTTTGCATTTTGTATCTTCAAGTTTTGTTTTTTTCTTTGTTTTTTTGTGAATCTCTTTGCTGTAAAGAGCAGTAATAAAATCTTTTAAAGTCATATTCTTGTTATACATATTTATATATGTTGAATTTGATAAAGAAGGCTGCGTATAAACATTTTTTTTAAATATATTTCGATATAATTTTTTATTTACAAAATTTTTATTTTACGCCTGTAATGTCTTCTTTTTTGACAGTTTGATTTATATGATTTTGTAACAATTTTTGTAACATTTTTATTACACCTGATGATGCTGACTGCTATAGGTCAGTGAAATATTGTAAATATATAACTATATCGAAATATATTTAAAACAAAAAGTTTATACGCAGCCTTCTTTATCAAATTCAACATTATATAGATATCATATCAAATTTCTTTGCTATATTTCTAAATTTTAATTAAGTAAACCTAATTTAATTAAAATTTAGAAATATAGCAAGGAAAATATAAATAGTTAAAGTAAATGTAACTAGGAAACTGTAATAATTATGATTGCTAATTATTAAGGAGAATTAATGCAACTAGTTTCAAAAGATGATATTGATCAACGATTCAATCACTATTTGACAAAGACATTTCGAAAAACAGCTTCTCTAATGGCTAACAGCTGCAAATCTGTGTGTATTTTTTTTTTTTTTTTTTTTTAAAAACACTTTTTTTCCTCATTGATTCCTTATTTTAAAACAACTTTTTTAACTTTTAGGTTGCCTTATTAGCAAATTGTTCTTCGATTGTTCAGGATATGGCTTTTGAGTATGGCAAGAACTTAGGAATGGCTTTTCAGGTATAAACCTAATATATAATGATAATGCTAATATAGACCCACTATCTAAATTAGCATTATCATTATATGTTAGGAATGGCTTTTCAGGTATAAACCTAACAAAGCTTTATACACTAGTGATCAAAAATTTAGGCTCAGAAAAAAAATTTCTTAAGCTTAGCTCTTAAAATGCCATAAAAAATTTATTAAGATGTTTTAAATTTTTTTTTTTAATTTAACTTAGTTTGTTTCCAACATAATTACAAAAAACACACACCTTTTATTGTATATATAAATCTTTTTTTTTTATTTTTTAATAATAGCGCTATTTAAAAACAAATAAAATATGTCGCATAAATTTAGACTCACTTTTTTTTTATCTTTATTTCATTTAAAAATTAAATTATTTACTTACTTAGTGCACACTAATCAAAATACACAATTTTTACTCATTATTTGCATTTAAAATATTTAAAAAATGGGTAAAGTATCAGTCTCAAAAGATATCAAAGAAAGAATTATCACCTTGCACCTTTCTGGTAATTCTACAAGAAAAGTTCAGTTGATTCTCAAGAACATATCACAGTCATGTGTCACTAAAACAATAGCTAAGAGGAAAAAAACAGGTAGCACACTAGATAAAATCAGATCTGGAAGACCCAGAAAAACAACTACCATTGATGATAATAGTATATACAGAATTGCCAGAAAAAATCTTAAGTCTAGTGCCAAACAAATTGCTCAAGAAATAAATCTAGCTCTTAGCTCTTGACATCTCAAGACAGACAGTAAATAGAAGATTAATTGATCATAAACTTTGATCGTATACTGCTGCTAGAAAACCAATGCTTAAAAGATCAGATCGACTCAAACGGCTACAATTTTGAAAGAAAATTTTAAAGATGAGTGATAGTGATATAAAAAAAGTTGTATTCAGCGACGAATCGAATTAAACAGTTATTAATCAAAAAAATAGAGTAACTGTTTGAAGACACCATAATGAGAAGTTTCATAATTGTTTCATTGTACCTCGGTTACAGGGCAGAGAAGGTTCAGTTGGGATCTGAGGTTGTATCACGTATGATGGACCCGGACTATGCTACTTGTACACTGGTAGAATGGACCAATACAGATACATTGAGACGCTTGAAAATCATTTGATTCCAACAAGATTCATTTTTTGGAGATGAGCCAGAATGGAAGTTTCAGCAAGATATTGCCCCTTGTCACAAAGCAAAAACAGTAACAACTTGGTTTAAAGAAAATAAAATCAGTTTACTCCAGTGGCCAGCTAGATCGCCAGATTTAAATCCAATCGAAAATAAATGGTCTGTGCTTGATTGAAAACTGACCAAAGCTCCTGTAACTTTAGCTAAAGAACTACAAAAAAGTTTGAAAGAGTTATTTGATGGCTTGTCCTTTGAATATTGTTGAAATCTTTTTGAATCTATTAAAAGAAGATGTAGACTTTGCATAGCTAACAAAGGCGGTCACATACCTCATTAACTTGACTTTTGACAATTTAAAGTGAAAAATCTAAACTTATGAACAAGATTTTGGTAGATATCTTTTTACATGATTTTGCTATTTTCAAAATAAGATACTTTAAACTTGTTTTTCTTTTCATGTCTTTTATATATATTAAAGAGAATTTCATAAATAATAAATTGGATTAAAAATAAAATTAAAAAAAAAAAAGGCATTTTTTTAAATCACTAAGAAACTTTTATTCTGAGTCTAAATTTTTGATCACTAGTGTATTTCATAAGGTACATATACACATTTTTATTTTATTGTTGCAAAAATACATTCTGCACAAAGAAATAACTTAAGGTTAGATTTGTTTATATATATATATATATATATATATATATATATATATATATATATATATATATATATTTTATTTTCTACTATATATATATATATATATATATATATATATATATATATATATATATATATATATATATATATATATATATATATATATAGTAGAAAATAAAACTAATTGATTTTCACAACTTTAAGTTTCATGCTGTTGCAATCATCAGGTGAAATACAAATATAGTTTGTTCGTTTAAAAAATTATGTATATATATATTCATATATATATGTATATATATATATATATATATATATATGTATGTATATATATGTATATATATATATGTATATATATATATATGTATATATATATATATATATGTATATATATGTATATATGTATATATATGTATATATGTGTATATATATATATATATACATGTATATATATATATATGTATATATATATATGTATATATATATATATATATATACATACATGTATGTATATATATATATATATATATATATATATATATATATATATATATATATATATATATATATATATATATATATATACATACATGTATATATACATATATATACATATATATACATACATGTATATATACATATATATACATATATATACATATATATATATATATATATATATATATATATATATATATATATATATATATATATATATATATATATATGTATATATATGTATATATATGTATATATATGTATATACATATATATATATATATATATATATATATATATATATATATATATATATATATATATATATATATATATATATATATATATATATATATATATATATATATATGTATAGCCAACCCATCAGGGTTAGCAAATATAAACAGTAAAATAAATTTTAAGTCATGACCGAAAACTGCACACAAGCTAAGTAGTTAAAGTACTGTGACACAAGCACTACAACGTGTGCAACAAACACTACAAGGTAAACAACAAGCACAACAAAGTGTGCAACAAGCACTACAAGGTGTGGGACTTTTTGTTCACATTAATATTAAAAAAGTTATAAATTAGTAAAAAGAAATACAATTGTTAAAAGATATTTAGATTTAGGTTTTCACATTTGAAGTAGAAAATAGCTTCAATTGAAAACCTTCAAATGTGATAAAGTTCACATAAGCTTTAACTCATGGATAAAGTTCTACCTGCTTATAAATTAATTATTTCAGTCAGTAGATTGTTGTGCAACTATACAGTAAAGGGAATGGCTATAAAACATAAATATAAAATAATGATTTTATTATGTTATTGTTGACTAATATTACTTATTGTACGAAGTGGTTGTAAACTTTTGCACATCTAATTATAAAAATTTCAATATATAAATTCACAAACAAAGAAAGACTGCAACATGACACTGGTTGTAATTTTTTACCATTCACACCCTTGCAACATCTGTTATACGGTTGTTTTTTTTGTTTGAACATTTATAAAATTTATGTTGGAATGAATGATTTATTTAAAAAAATTAATTATGTAGTAAAAAAAAACTATTCTTTGTTAAATGTATCTTTTTATTAATTACATTTATTTTCTATGTATTATGATTTTTTTCTTAACTCTTTATGTTTTTACTATTATAGTTTATTTATAACATTTTAAATGCAATTTGTTTTTTTAGTTAGTGGATGATGCCCTAGATATTATTTCATCATCAGAGACGCTTGGAAAACCAGCTGGTGTTGACATGTCTTTAGGCTTAGCTACTGCTCCAGTACTTTTTGCAGCACAAAAGGTTTTTTTAGTTTATTTTTATACCTTTGTCTATCTTTTTTTGTTGCAGAAACGGATTTATTTGGACACGGGTAGAATGCAGAAATTTCCAATTAGTAAAATTCCCTAAGGCGGAAATGAAGTGTGGAAAATTGCTTAACTAATCATATTGCGTCCCCAAACCAAACCTTTAGTCAATTTTGCAGTACTCTATTGAATCTTCTCCTTAAATCAGTCAATGTACTGAAGTCTTTAAGTCTATAACTTTATTTCCACGCTTTATTCCCGCACTTTACCCCTTGAAAAACTTTGCATTTCTGCATTTACAATGCCCAGTTTACTTTTATTTAGTTTTACAAACACAGATTTATTGTTATTTATGTTACAGATATAAATTTTTTGTTATATTTATGCTGAAGGAATACAGAAAATAAAATAAATTTAGTTATATATGTTTATATTTTTGTGTAGTTTCCTGACCTGCATGCCATAATTGGGAGGCGATTTAAAAATAAAGTCGAAGACGTTCAAAAAGCGCTTGAATATGTCAATCAGGTGATTTCTTAAATTCATTTTTGTTTTTAATAAATCATTAATTTGTATTTATTATTTTTTATGTTTTATTCAGAGTGATGGTGTTTCAGAAACATTTATGTTGGCTTCAAAATATGCGATGGAAGCTTGTAAAAGCATTAGCAGCTTAAAAGACTCGGAAGAGAAGGCTGCACTTATAACACTCGCTAATTTTGTTGTCGAAAGAAAAAGGTAGCACAGTAAAATTATAGGGAAATATTCAAAATTATTTGGAACATGGTAGTAAATTCGTTTGGAGAAACTATTTTATCTTGGAATCTTTAAAACCGTGTTCTCAGCAATTGTCTTTTAGCGAAGTTAATTATTATACAACTGATAATGATAATACAGATCCACTGGACCTATATTGACATCATCAACTAGATCTATATTAGCATCATAAGTTGGCTATTGCACTTTAACTCGTTTTTTAGTAACATGTGCCCAGAGAACCATTAGTAACATGTGCCCAGAGAGTAACCATTAGTAACATGTGCCCAGAGAGTCGAATTTCAATACTATACAAAAAGTTTAGGATTAGCATGCTAATAGCATTTCTATATTATCATCCTTATCCATAATATTAACCTAGCTGTCTACTTGGGTGGATGTTACTAATGATTCACTAAATAACGGGGGAGTTGAGCCCCGGTTGTAAAGATACTGATATGCGTCCGTTAGATGATCAGGCGGACGTGTACTTGATTCACGGGTGATTAAAACGGTGATTTATATGGAAATGTGTCACTCTCCTCAGACCCCATGAATCAAGTACATGTTCGTTTTAAAACGCTTGCTTGGTTATTGAAATTGTAGAAAAATATTTTTTTATAAATTCTCTAATAAAAGATATAAGCTTCAAGTTTTATCTCACAAGTAAATTCTAGTTTATGTAAAATTAAAATGAGTTTATTGCACTCATACTGCAGAGAAATAAAAAACGAGTATGCATAAATAATATTTCGTTATATTGCAAAGGAAATGTTTCATATAAATTTTGTCATGCTTCCTTTTTCAATTGCTTTAGCCTGCAGTTTTAAAATCGTAAACAGAGCAAATATATCGACATTCGAAGTCCTAATATTGCCTTTAATGATTATTTTTGATATTAACTTGATTATTCGAAAAGTTAATATTAATTTAATTACTTTTAATTTTTAATTAAAACTATTTAACATTTTAAACTATAACTATTACATACTGTTTTAGTTTAGTCTTTTATTTATCTAATTCATTGCATTATAGCAATATTTACTCCTAGTTAAACTTTCGGTTAGGCGACTCGTTATTTTTTTATTTTTTGTTTGCTTGTGATTTTCATAAATATTTTCATTCAGGGACGTTCCAAGCTGATGCGAGGCTTTGGGGTAAAATTAAACTGTGAAACTTCAAAATTTAAAAATCAACTATACTATCAAATTGTAAATGTGATTTTATAATACATGGTGGCCACAGTCCTGGAATGTCCTGGATTTTTGCAAGTGTTCTGAAATGTCCTGGAAAATTACATTTTTTTCAAAAATGTCCTGAAATGTCCTGGAACTTTTTTTTTTTCAAGTTAAAAGATTACTAATAATATTGAAGTAATATTAAATTTTTTATGCGAAAAATTTTTTTATATAAATGGTTTGAATTTAATTTTAAATAAGAGAGTAATAATTGTATAATAATATAATATTCTATAATTCAATCAATATGAAAAAAATATAACGTAAAGATAATTGATAATATTCATTTAATAAGATATAAAATGTCCTGGAAAACGCAACAAAATGTCCTGGAAATGTCCTGGAATTTAACTTTTAAAATTTTGTGGCCACCATGTAATAACAACAATAACAATGAATTTCGTGTTACAGATGTTACACAAACACAGGTCATTGCAAATTGTGATTCACTAATAAAGCGCAATGACGTAAATGAGATAAATAATAATATGTAATAAGTAAAACCACATAAAGAAGTAGGTTAAAAGAGGTTAAGTTAAATAAGTTAACTTAATATTAACTAATAAAATTGCTTAAAAATTTATTTAATTATACCAAAAAATCAGACTTTTTGAATATATATAACATAATTAATACAATGTACATTTATATATGCACATATACTTAAACAAGAATCATAATAAAATAAGTAAATTTTAATAAAAATAATTATGTAAAATAAAATTATAATAAAATAATGAAAATAAAAAAATATGTCAAAAGGTAAAAAGTAAAGTTTTCAGGTAGAAAGTGAAAAGGTAAACAAGTAAAAAGTAACAGATTCTTGAACCTAAGGATGAGACCTAATTTTAGGGTGTTCGGAAGGGAGTTCCAAGAAAGGATATACTGGTATGTAATGGAATTAATTCCATATTTACTTTGCCTGTTTTAGTGGGAGAATTAAGTTGAATTAAGTGACTGATCTTAGGTTATGTTTACATGTTGTTCTAATAGATACAGTGAGCAAAAATATTATCCGTCCACACATCAAATCAAAAAAAAAAAAAATTCAATAAAAAAATTAATATTCAAAATAAAACAAAAAGATTAATAATCTAAAACAAATAAAAAACAAAATTTATAACAAAAATAACAAAAAATGGATATATTAATTATGCAACATTTTATTGAAATATATTATAATCAATATATTATATATTATATATGAAATATATTATAATCAATGCAAAAAAATTATCCGTCCAGAACAGAAAAATTTATAACAAAAATTAATTACTATTTAAAGTAGTATTTTGTCAGCCCTCCCTTTACTTTAATGATAGCTATGCTTCGTCTTTGCATAGAATTAACTAATTTTTCCATTACATCACGACCGACCGTGGGAGGGAGCCACGCCTCCCGTGTTATACTTTTTAATTCATTTTTGTTCGATGAATTCCTATTTTAAATTTTTATTTCTCAAGAAATAAGAATGACCTTATATACATACTGGTCTATTCTTTCATCGATAAATTGTAATGTTCCCACCCCCGCAGCGTTCATACGCCCCCACACCATCATGTTGCCACCACCGTGTTTGGCAGTTTGTTTCAAACACATTATTTTGAATTCTTCTTCCGGCGTTCTCCACACTTTCCCTACTCCATCCCACCCGAACATATTAAATTTACTTTCGTCCGACCATAAAACGTTATTCCGAAAATTTTGTGGGCGATTTACGTACTTTTTAGCCCATTTTAGACGCAACTTTCTATTTTTGTTGCTGATGAAGGACTTAGGTCGTTGTGTTCGTCCATGTAAATTTGATTCATGGAGGCAATTTCGGACTGTTTGTGGATTGATTTCGACTCCTTTTTCTTTTTTCAGGCCATTTGAGACCTTCACCGCCGATAATTTTTTTTTTTTTAGATACGTCTCACCATTTACCGGTTAGTTCTTTCGTCCATTTTTCTCTTCCTTCCTCTCCCTTCTATACTACTTATTCTTCTGGTGCTTTTGAACTTATTAATAATGTCATCGATGCACAGTGGAAAATAAAGGTCTGTTTTAGATCAAAAATCAATAACTGTTTTGTTACTAAAGATAAAGTGTTGAAATTTTGCACAAATGTAGAGTAGTATATGGGAAATATTCAAGGAAATATTTTTTTATAAAAAAAAAGTTTAATATAAAACTCGTAAATAAAAATCAAAAACCTCACAATTTTCATTTTTTTTTTTTACTTTTAACTAAACATGTTCTTTTTAATTTTATTTAAAAACTTTAAAAGTATTAGAAACGACAAAAAATGCTTATTTATTTAGAAAATATATTAATATTAAATTTATATAATAAAAAAACATTTATACGAGCTTTTAGCTAATCTCTAGACAAAAAAAAAAAAAAAAACGTACTTTTTAATCTTTTAAACAAAAATTTTCCTTATATTAGGTTTAATTGCTTTACTAATTTGATTTTTTAGTAGTTGCGTGTAATTAATTAATTTGCATATATTTAAACATTTACATGATTACATGACATATATTTTCAAGAGTTTATAAAATGCTTATTAAAGCAATATTCAGAATAGTTTATTAATAACAACTTTTTATACAGTGAGTCTTTATGGAATAAATTAAAAGTCGACTTCCAAAAGCTGCAAAGTATTTTCATCGAGTTCTTGGACCTTTTTGCTGTATGGTTTTCTAATGCTAGTGATGTAGGGATCGGAAGTGTACAGAAGAGTATGAAATACGTCCTCATTTGTGGCTAATCTAAAACATTTCCTGGCATGATGAAGGCGAAATTTTTTATAATTTTTATTACGGGATTCTTGCGCATCTTCTGAAAGTTGCCCGATAGGCAGTACTGCAAAATGTTTTATGATATTTTCTCCATGAAGTAAAGTTCTGTGTACTAAATACGGCATAAAGTACCAGCTATAATTACTCACATAAGTGTGGACAGTTTCTAAAGTATATGTCTCGAAACTTTCAGCATTTAAAATAATAATTGAGGAGAGAGCTTGTAGAATTATGTAAAGTCACTTAATCAAATTTTTATTTACTCCAGTGATTTCAGAAGAGCAGCTTGCATTGTAAAAAAATATCCTAGTAGTATTACCATCATTGGTATTACCACTTTCTTGTTTTGGTTTGGAGACGATTAACTCTAGTTGCTCACAAAAACGCTTCTGTCCCAAGGTCTTCTTCTGTTTCTTTTGTCGTTTTTTTTTCTTCACCTTTAGCTGACCATGTTTGGAAAGACAGGTTGTAGGAAATATGTAATATCATTTCCATACACCGAATCCAGGCATGTAATGTCGACATTCCATATAGATACGAACTTTCATTTTCAGGCCTAGCAGACACTCAAGTCAAATCATTCATTTGTCATGGAGTAGATCCACCAATTGTACATGTAAACGCAGAAGGCGTATCCGTTAATACCCGAGCCACTTTTCCATCTATCTTGTTAAAAAATGTTCATGTTTCACTTGTATTCCTTTACAACTTTTGTTGATTATAGATGGCTGTAAAGAGTATATTTGGCTTTTTATTTCATCTACAACAATTTTAGTTTTCTCAGGAGTCTTTTCGCAAAATTCTATGCATATAGGTCGACAAAAACGTACAGACGAAGGAGCCGGATTTTGCCAAACAACTGTGCCAGTTACTTCATCAACTAATTTGATCGGTACCAAAGAACTAATAAATAAATTCGCATCAGAAATAAGTTCAGATTCCATCGGAAGTTTCTGCTTGTACTCGCTTTGGCCAGAGGAGTCATCACAATCCCATTTACTATAGAAAATTAATTGTTTAAGATTTTTTTTCTTTCTTACTTTATAGTTCAATTAATTATTTGTAAACAAAACCAAATAATTAAAAAAATGAATTTGTTCTAAAATCTCCATAACATGATGCTTTCAAAAATATATAATACTTTATACTTATTCGTAAAAAGTTTTATAGAAAAAATCATGTACAGTTATGAAGCAAATAAGTTTAAATTGAAAATTTTTAATAATTTATGAAACGGTAGGGCTTCAAGAATGATCTTTTTACAAAAAATTAGGTAAAATTCCTACGTTATAGTAAAAATCGACTATTAAACTATTAAAAAATATATATTAAATTTCATTAGTGAAATTGAAATTTGAACAAAAAACATTTATTCCTCGCTGACTTTTCCCACCACCTTTGCAAAAACTGTCTTGCAATATAACTGCTGGATTCTACGCAGTTATAAGGAATGGGCTGCACCTTTTCATCACTCAATTGCTTTAAATTATTAGCTTTAAATTAGGCTTAGCTTTAAATTATTTTAAATCATGTTGATAACGTTTTACATAAGTTACATAAGAAGCGGATTTATATTGGCCAGCTGTTAATGTGTCATTCATTTTGCGTTGTCAAGAACTATATCCATATAAAGCGCGGTTTAATAATTTAATTGAGTTACGACTCATCTAATGAAAACTATAATTGACACTGTACTTGTTATTATTTAAAATAAATTTAGAAAATGTGAACCAAAAGTATACTTTCAAAAAAAAAAAAAAAATTAATTTTCAAGTTGTTTTTGAATCAAGTTGTTTGTATTTATACATAAAAATAAAGTGTTTGTAAATATTAACTTCATGATGAAGTCTACATATTTGAACCGACCCCATCATAGCAGAGAGATAAGCACAGATTTAGCAATTTTATTAGTAACACCACTGCTAACACCACTTCACCCAGCATATTTTTTTATTTTTGTTAACAAGAACCTTTCCGTTGATATTTATACCACTTCATATCTTTTTAAAAATTTGTACAGAAGTTTTGGCTTATGCGAAGAATCTTTGATTTGTTTATCAAATTATCCTTGATTTTGTATAAAAATAAGATCGAGTACGTTAATCCATGATATTCAAACAAAATGTTTCTCATTCACAAAAACTTTTACCTAATCAGATATATATATATATATATATATATATATATATATATATATATATATATATATATATATATATATATATATATATATATATATATATATATATGTTTTTAATGTTGTTCATTCAAGTAGAAAACTAGTTTTTGCGCAAAAGAGGGGGGTTGTGATCGCAGTAAGTTATAACAAAAGTAAATGTGGTATACAGTATAAAAAAGGTAATTTGAAAAAAAGAATATAACTCAGTTTTATATTTTCTTTAAAATAATAGCTATTTATAAAAAAATACAAGTAAATCTAAAACTTATTTAAACGTAAAATTCTTGTAAAATTAAAAATAATTTTTATACAATTTTAAACTAAAAACGTAATAATAACAATGATTAAAAAAAACAACACATAAATATTTTATTTAAAAAGGATAATAAATATGAGAGAATATAAAATAACAATTACAAAAATTTTAAAACATGGAGCAACAAGAAAAGAACGGTTTTTACAAAGATTTGAATTTCATGTTTTACAGAAGAGATAAACTCATTTTAACAAAACTACAGTTTATGTCAAGTTATTTACAAAAATTACATCGAATATCTGTTTTGCAGACGAAAACAAATATATGCGTTAGAAATATTTGTTTTCATTTAATTTTTTCCATTTTATAAATCAGTTCTTTGATAACCCGTTTTGTTTGAAGGTAGTCTAGACATCGGTTGTGCGACTTTTTCCTATAAAAGTTTAACGTCTTGTTTAAAAAATACTGAAAAAAAAGCTACTTATTTTTATGACGTTTTTCTAAAGATTTATTTTATATTTTAAAAAGTGAATACATATTTAAAAGTTTAAAAAGAAATTTATTTCGTGTAACTTTCATGAAGCTTAAAGCGCGTAACCAAGCGTATAAAATAGAAAAACTACATAGAAAACTACAACAATAAAACTTTTAAAACAAAAAGAAATTTTAAAGAAAATAATTTAGTTGAAGCTAAACCAAGCTAAATCACAGGTCACCGATATCATGTGGTTTATTATGAGGTAAAAGTTTTTGAATTTGTTAATGATTTCTTTGCTTTTAACATTGGAATATTAGAATAAGGTGACCATATTTGAAAAATACCAGACGCGTACAAGGTATAAATTTGGTATGTATAAATACAAATGGTATTTAAATCAGGCCCCACAGCCTGATTTAAATACCATTTCTTTAAAGGGGGAGCACTTTATCATGAGGCGCTAAAAATAAAATAAAAAATAAAGACGCCCAAGGGCAATTTTTTTTAGCGTCTATTTTTTGATAAGATTTCGCATAAATTTAATAAAATGATTAATTATATTTTTTATATTTTCGCCTTGCCCTTTTTTTGTGTTGTACTAACAATTTTTGAATATGTTTAATTTCAATTTTTTAGTGGCCAAACAGGACAAAGCGCAGGGGAGCACGTGCCCCCTCGCTCCCGCCCTGTGTACGGGCAGGGCGGTTTAAATGTTTTAAATAGGTTTTACTAAAAACTCGTTTATTTATTTTAAAATAGCTCGTGAAGAAACTAAATTATGGAAAAAATATTAAACAATATGTGCATTTTTAAATTACAAATATTTTTCATAAGAATGAATTTTTTTGGCTGATATAACTTAAGCACTCTTTCGATAACTGGAAGTAAGGCCAACCAACGAACTTTTGAGAATTCTAGCAGTTTTTGATATTCCACACCGGCCTCATCCCAGAAATTTTCTAAACTAGAAACTTGAACTGTAAAACGGTAAAAAAAAAAATAAATTCGAGGAATACTTATCTCCATATCAATAGATAAACAACAAGATGAAGTGTTTATTGCGTTTGATAAAATATGAGCATTGCAACCGATACCAATGATTTCACGGTTTAGCTTAACGATTAACTTTTTTATTTTTTGTTATTACCGTTTCGTTTTAAACCTCCGAAATTAGTATTGGTGTTGTCTGCAGAAAAAACTTTTGTAGAAATTTTGTTAGCACTAATGTATTTAAAGATAACTTTTGATAAAATATCTGATGTTTCTCCATTTACACAATCCATGTTAATCAGCTGAATTTGCACTCCTCTTTAACGTCAAAATAAAGAGCCAAAATTGGATACATTTTAACGTCCTTGTGGTTTGATGCATCAGAAAGGATTGGCACATATGATGCTTTTAATAAAGCATTTTTTGCGTCAGTTTCGCTATATTTCTTGATTACGTTTATAATTATTGCTTCACATTTTGTACGCGCACAAGCAAATCTTGGATTATAAAATTTCTTAATTAGCTTTGATGTACAATCAGCACTTCTAAAGCTATGGTTGTGTTTAATTGTGTGGAATGCAATTGTTTCTTCTTGAATGGCTAATATTTTTTTATTTTGACCATAGCTCTGACTCTTCATCAACTTTGTGATTTTGTTTCACGAAATAGAAGCATCCTAATAATCTTCAATTGTAGACCGTCCACGACTACTAATGTCAAATTTTATTCATTTTGTTTTTTAACTATATTTTAGAAAATTCATTTATTAAAAGTCTTTCAAAAAAATTTTTTTGAAAGAATTTTATTTGCTATTTTTTAATATATAAACGCGTACACAAACGCGTACAAACCCAAACACGCAAAACTACCGTCAAACGCTTATTGTACGCGTAAACGCGTACGGTCACCTTAATTAGAAGTAAAATTACCATACGATTAAAATCTTAGAATTAAAATACAACTTTCTGTCTAGTCTTTTTTTTTTTAAGTTTTAAAATGGTTTTTGTGATTTGAAAAAATAGGAAAGACTAACCCAATTAAAATCCATCAATAAAGCTGAAAAGATACTGGGAAAAAAAACGACGCATTTATTATTTGAGATTTTTTTCATTAACTGACTTTAATGATCGAAATTTCGGTTTTAGTCTGACTCGGTAGAAACTTTCAATTTGTATTGAAACTGGAATATACAAATAATCCTTAATAGTAGTTTCAGCTGAAAACTCAAAATGCAACCTTTAATAAACCGTACAACCAATAATCTGCAAAAACTTTGCTGTGAAACACAAAATTAGTTCACAGGTATAGAATAACCTAACATGTTTAAGATAACTGAAGTTTATGAAATGAAGCTGCTTCACTATTTATTAGAAAAGTTGAACAAAATAAACCAATGTAAAGTCCTCTTTAATTAAATTAGATTATATCTTACCAGCAAGAGTGATCATAATAAATATTATCTAAAAAAATTTATCTGTTTATTACTTCATACCCTACTGCGAAGTATCATTATTCACCAATCATTAACCAATCGGGTAGGTTTGCAAATACTAATAATTGCAAAAAAATTATATCAGCTTTCTCACTTATGTCAAAGCAGTGATACTTGATAAAAAAACTAGATATGTTTTTTTGAACATGAAGGAACAGTTATAGTAAAAAGATACAACTATGTAGTACTTTTGTTTTGGTTGGATAAACAAGAGATGATGATGGTTGGTTAAAAAAAAGACGATGATGGTTGGTTGTACAATAGATGATGATTGTTAGTTGAACAAGAGATGATGATGCTTGGTTGAACAAGAAATGATGATAGTTGGTGTCTCAAAAAAAATACTCATCTTCGATAGATGTTAACTGCACCCAGCTACTGTCTTGTCAGTAGCTGGGTGCTTCTAAAGTTTTTGCCTAGAAGGCCTTCTAGGCAAAAACTTTAGAAGTAAGCAGAACAATTCTGCTGACCAACCTTGAACTTCTTCTTTATCTTTTAGAAATGCGTCGATGTAAGCCTGTGTTACATTGTTTTTTGCCAAGGATGATGAATGATGGATCTTTTTAACCCTACTCATAGATTTTAGCTTGTGCCCCCTTGATAGTGGTTATGCAACTCTTCCTGTTATCTCCTCATGAGGGTACAACTCTACAACTCAGTTTAATTGTTCTATGGTAGCTCTTAGAGAAGCTGATTCCATCAACAGCTGAAAAATATCAGAGTAATAACAGTTCCATAGATGGAACTGTTGGATGGATCCCTGTTAATATTTTTGGTATGCGCTATAAAGACCACATAAGGAGCCCAACATTATCACTTTAGGTTAATTAATAGGACTGAATCAACTGTATAGCTCATTGCTTAGGGTGCCATGCTCTATCTATAAATGATTTAAGTTCTCTTTGAACTTAAATTATGTCCAAAGCAAAACAAAATATTAAATATAAAAAACCCTCACCACTACCTGTTTCAATATATCTTTTACTAATATTCGTGGTCTTCGAAGTAACAATCCACAAGTTGAATCTTACCTCTTGTAAAATTCACTTGACTTGATTGCTCATTGTAAGACTAATTTAAAATAGGCTGTTCCTTCTTCAGATCTCAGTACTGATGATACTATCCTATAATTTGCAAAGAATCTAATTGTCACATTCTTGGCTTGGGTGTATCCTTAAGCGTCAATTCACCTATTTGTCAAGAAATTAGGTTTGAATCCCTTGACCATTCTATTATGTGCTTCTGCTTAGCATCTCTTTGCTCTGTCAGCTTTCTCTTTGTTCTTTATTGTTTACCTTCTTCTCAAGACAGCACTCTTTTAAAAGTAATTTCTGATTAAAATGACCATGCCCTTTCTCTTTACCCATCTGCCAATATTGTTATTATTGTTGACTTTAATGTTCATCACAGAGAATAGTGTGGCTCTAACACCACTAACCATGTTGGCATTAAAACCCATAATTTCTGCATTTCTCATTCTTTCACTCAGATAGTTAACTTTGTGACTTGTTTTCCAGACAATCCTAATTACTTACCTTCACTCCTTGATTTGTATCTTGTCTCTGACACTAGCTTGTGTTCAGTTTCTCTCTGTTTTCCTTTGGGTAGTAACTATCATAAAATGATCTCTATAAATCTCTCATCCCATATTTCTTTTTCACAGGTTGCTGATACCACTTTTCTCTCTGCTGATAAATGGGCCTCCTACATAACCTCCTGGATCCAAGCAAGAATAGAAGTTTTTATTTTTTCTTGTTGGTTCCAAATCAATGTTCATTCTAGTCCATGGTTTGTTGGCATCTGTTGTTCCAATTTTTAAAACCCTCCAGAGACCATTCTGACCCCTTTAACTATTGTCCAATCTACTTTTTGTTATTACTTTATATAGTTAAGGCAGTTTAAAAATATTACCAGGTGGACACGGAAAAATCTAGTCAAGTTTAAATTGAGATTCTATAAAATCGCAAATGCTTTTTATTTCTTTTATTTTTTTAATAAAGTATTACTTCCTTATCTTTGATTGTGTTGATAAACTTTTGTTTACAAATCAATGATTTTCAAAATATTTCAGAAACAAATTGATGTGCGTAAAAAAGTTGTAAATTTTTTTAACAAAAATCCATTGACTTTATATTGCTTGATTGCTAAACGTACAAATGTCCTAAAATCTACAGTCAAAGATTTTATAAATAAGTTCAATATTACTCAAAGCTTTGAAAGAAAACCTGGAAGTGGAAGAAAGAAAACTTTTCATAAATCCAAAAAGGTAAAGTTTAATTTACACTCAATAGCAAAAAATCCGAACCACTTACAGCAAGAAAATTCAAGATTTTGCGTTCTTATATCAAAAAAGTACTTAAAAATGCTGGAATTAAAGCATTTCATAAGAAAAAATACATCTAAGAGAAGCTTAAATGGTGAAATTAAAGGAATTCAAAGCCCAAAGAAGTTGGTTAAAATAATTGCAGATAAAAGTATGTGTATGATTGAAGATGACAAAACATATTGTAAGGCGAATTTTTCACAACTTCCTGGTCAACAATTTTACTATGAGAACAAAGATAAACCTGTCAATGATCAATTTAAATATATTCGACAAAAAAAATTTGCATCCAAGTTCCTTCTGTGGCAAGCAATTAGTAGTTGTAGTATGCAGTCTTCTTGTTTTGTCACTAAGAAGACCTTGACTTCCAATCTCAATATCAAAGAATGCTTCCAAAAAAGACTTTTACCATTTATGAAAAAACACAAACACCTATGTCTCTTTTGGTCATATCTTGCTGCTTTTAACTATTCTAAAAAAGTTCTACTGTTGTACAAAGATAACAATGTGAAAATTGATCCAAAAGATGCAAACTTTCCAAATCACCCTGAAGAGCGCAAGAATGAAGATTTTTGGGCAAAAGTTAAAGAGGTTCTTTGTAAGACAGGTGGAGTAACAAAAAATAAAAAGGACTTCCAAAAAAAGTGGATTAATGCCACCAATAAGATGAAAAAAGAAAAAATCTGCAAAATGATGGCATCAATTTACTATAAAATTCGATCTCTTGCCAAACAGCCCATCAAGCCCCTTAAAATTAAGTTGAAACTCTAAAATCCCATTTGCTTGTCCAAATTTGAATTAGATTTTAAATATTTTTTAGGTAAAATGAACATCATAGTTTAATATGATCTGCTTTAATATGATCTGCTCTAATCGTTTATTGCTTTTTCTTAATTAAAAGCTCTTTCTTGATCAGAATTCTAGTATTTTTTGTAAAAATTGATAGAAATATTGTATTTTGACAACTATTTATAGTTAGTATATGCCAAAACCGATTAGAACTAGGATCTATAGTAAATTGAGGAACTTTTTAAAAAGATTTTAACTAATTTCATGTTAACTCCGCTGAGCGAAATTAATTTAAAGACTCCAAAATGGTGTTCTTTAGATTCCCTATTACGGGTAGTAAAAAGATTTTGAAAACTTGAAAAATCTTCAAAAGTCCTGAAGCATTTTCAAAATTTTCAGATTTTGAAAACTTGAAAAATCTTCAAAAGTCCTGAAGCAAAAAAAATTATAACATAAATGTTTTGTTTGGGCATAATATGCTTATAAAATCATGCTGATTTCAAATAAAAGAATTCAAATTATTTGTAAATCGCCTTAACTACACTGAGTAGCAAGATCTTTGAAATCATAGTGACTGCTTAAAGGAGCTATCACCTCTAGTTCCATCAATCTTTTTAGAGCATGTGTATAACCAAGTAATACTTCAAGTTTGTTTATTTGTATACACTTTTGAAGTTGATTTAAAAATTAACAAGCTTTTATTTACCTCATTTCTATTTCTTTTTTTTAATTTTGTCTTAAAACAATAAGTATTATTATCCTTTATTAATGTTTATTTTTATTCTAAGTTAACATTACATTTTAACTTGGATTAACATATGTTTTACACAAATAATATTTAAAACATATTAGTCAAAATCACGACAAGTTTTTATGACAAAAGTTTTATTTATGAGCATAAAATATGTTCACAAATATTTTATTGATAACTGATAAACTCAATTGGTAGTTTGTTTAAAGTTGTAAAACAGTTTATTTTTAAGTTAATAAGAAGTTAAGTAATTGACCGTTATGAACTTCACCCATTAATAATTCCCCTCATAAAATTGAGGAGAAAGCAATTATAAGACAATATTGTGTAAATAATTTTTTAAGAATTAAATAGTATAAGTATGTTTTTTTTAAATAAGAAAGTATATATATATTTTTTAATAAAGAAATATATATATTAAAAAAAAAAAACTTTTAAATTTTACTGATAATTTTTTTAATAACAAAATTGTTTAAAGATATTAAGACTTAAAAATTATTTTTAATGTGGCTTCAAATTAAATTTAATGATATAAATACGAATATTGAGTAAAGTTACATTAAATTTGTTTGTTTGTTTGCCTTAATATCCCTTTAAAAAAAAAACCAAATAATTTTAGACATTGTATCTTGCTTTGTTTCACAACATTGCTTTTCTGCAAAAATGATCTTTAGGTATATGATGAAATCTTTAGGTATATGATGAAATCTTTAGGTATATGATGAAATGTAAAATTCTAATAAGGGAAATGGTTCCGAAGCATCTAAGAGAGGTTTTGTAGGAGAAACAAAAAGAAATAATTACCTAACTCTTTTTATAAATATTTAACTTATCAAAGAATAAAAACTTAACAAATAAAATCTTTTTTATTGATAAAGTAAATAATGAACTCTAAATGAAAAAAAAAAGTATTATCTTGTGAAATAAAAATAACATTCAAAAACATAGAAATGCTTTAATAAAATATTTCCTTAAAATTGTGTTCATTAAAACTGTGGTATTAATGTAACATTGTCAATATTTTTTGTAAATTTTCATTATAATGTCATGTTATTTCTGTAATTTTTTTGGTTTTTCTGATACTTCAAGTTTTTTGACAATTTCAGAAGACCTTACTTCAAATATGAACTTCAGTGACGTATTTAGTACATGTATATAATAACACTGATATTGTAAAATGCTATATGTAAAGAGCAAGAAAGAAAGTTTGTTTTTTATTAATAGTATAATAATAGTAAATGCTGATCCTCATCGAAACGCCAGTAATAATAGACGCGACTCTGAAGAGATGTTAATTACTTAATTACTACACAAATTATGTTTACACATTAGCATTAATGTTTTTTTTCCATTATTAAATGCCTCTTATTGTTGTTATCAGATTTTTTATTTTGTGATCCGTTTTTTGTTTTACAAGTTTTTGTCTGGTGATATATATCTTCGTTCATATTGGTGTTTATAAAACAATTTTTTTTATTTTTTTTAATTTATTGTTATAGTTATTATTGTTGTGGGTGTATAGCCTGTCTTATTCATTTTTAAATATTCCTCTAATTAATCTTCATTTTTGTCTTGACAACTGTCAAAATATGCTTTGTCTAATAAATAATTCTCCTTTATTCTAATGTACTTCACTTCTTCCCTCAGGCGTTCACTGCTCGTGTGTGAACATTCGGCAAATTTTATATGCCAAAGTTTTTAAATAAAGTTTGTTTTTTATTAATAGTATAATCCTAAAAATATGGAATAACCTTGAAGTTTTTTGAAATTTAATAAAAATTCTAAGATCCCCATAAAATGCTAAACTACAATTAAATGATTTTGTGGCAATATTTGCAGAATGTTATTTCCTATTATGGTATTTGAGTTTGATTAAGCCAGTCTTCTTTTCCTCTTTTTTACTAAAATTTAAAAAATAGTCTTATGTAGCCCAAATTAATTGTTTATTTTATAAACATAATAAACGCAAAGAAATTTTTCTCTAATTCATCTATTGAACCAAATGACCACACTCTTTCTGTCACTTCAATGATACAAGTCAGGTCAAATTGTGGGGCAATTTTTTGATGATATCCAACTTGTGTTGTGAATAAATGAAATCTAACTTGTGTTAACAATTTTCTTACTACTGATTTTGTTCTCTAACTCTCTTTATATAATATTCTATTATTAAAAACTGTTGTCATAGTTTTAAATTAATTTTCTGTTAACTCCCAACATAATTAGTGATTGCTTGCAGCTTTGTTGGAGTTCATTTTTTTAAAATAAAAATTTCAACAAGAAAAATGAATAAAACAACCTTGTGTCCAATATATATGCTTTGCTGATAACCACATAGCATACATAAAGTTGGTATTGATACATCATTATATATATACCAATGATGATGAACCAATACCATTTGAATATTAGGCAGCTGTTACGTTGTAGTTAGAGCCTTGGAATAAATAGAAGGTAACACATGCATGTTCAATTAAACACAAATTGCAAATTCTTTACAATTCCGTTTTCAAATCAACGCCTTTTAAGTTTTTCAAGTTTGACTTTCTCAAGCATGAACTTAAATATTCAAGTTACGTTTGCGCATTTGCTCAACTTTTTTAACTTGACAAAGTCAGACTTCGAAGTTTAAGTCTTGGTCTTAAGCTTAAATGTCTTGGTCTGAACCTTTACTGCCTTAACTAAATCTCAGATGTAAGATAAAGAGTTGATTTAAAATAAAGTGTTGTGTACAACAAGACCCTATTTTGAACTACTTAGCTTTGGATAAAACTAAACAAGGTGAACACAAACATAAGTGTTTGTGTTCACCTTGTTTTTATTATATCCTTGTTTTTATAACTAATCTAACTGAAACTCATAATACAATGATTTACATAGTCTTTATTTTTGTCTACTTTTTGCAATATATAGAAGTTACAATGCAGAAACTTTAATCGGCCTAATAATAATTTCAAATCATAAGTATATATTGTCAAGCCATGGAAACCTCTTGAAGCTTCCAGAACTTTCTAGGAAATTAAAGAAAAATTGTTTATTACTTTTTAACCAAAAAAATTTCATTAGTCTATATTAAAGAAAACCTAAGATCAGCTTATTTCTGGCTAAACTTATTACAATTTAAATGTAGCATATGTTTTGACTTTTATCTTTAAGCTAATAAATACATTAGTCAAGTAAGACTACATTTAAAAAAGTCAAAATGAAAACTTAATTATTTTTAAATTTCTATTTAAAGAACACTAAATATCTCTTAAAAGAACACTAAATATCTCTTAAAAGAACACTAAATATCTCTTAAAATAACACTAAATATCTCTTAAAATAATACTAAATATCTCTTAAAAGACTTAAAATGAGCTAACAGCTCATTTTATATTACTTATTATGTTTGCTTGAATAAAATAAGTTTAGGAATAGGTCATAGTTTTTCCTAATGTGGTAATTTGTCGATATATTAATCAACAAGTAATGAACAATAACAAGTAAAAAACTAAAATAACAAAAACATCTATAATGACATACTACAATAGAAAAAACATCAAAAAAACTTTCAAAATAAAAATGAAAAACTAAAAATAAATAAATTACATTAGATTTTTGAGTGCTGCTATTATTCTTTGAGGAGCTTTGTGACTTTGCGGAGCTATTTTGATAACTATTTCTACAAATAATGAAAAAAAAGAATACAAAACAAAACAAAAAAAGGATACAAAACAAAAATTAACTATTGAGATTCAATAATGTATAGTTTTGTATTAATTAAAAACAAAAAAAATTACCTTGATTCCGCTTCTTTCTGGGAAACATTTTCAGCCTTTGATGTAACTTGTTTTGACTCATTCTTTCTTTCATATGTTTTTTTAGATGAACCACTTTCAGAAAAAGTACTTTGTTTTGATGAATAACTGTGAGTGTTTGACAAGAAAGCTTCATCTTCCAAATCATTATAACCTACTTTGTTTTTATTGACATCAGCACCAAGAGAAATTCTTTTTGCATCTGCCTCTGATATCGATCCTGAGTTACCAATTAATGAGGTGGTTTTCATAGAGTACTTTTTTTGCAGATTTGAGTAACCAGACCCAGGTCCTAGATAAATAAAATTATTTACTTATTATTATTTAAAATATAATAATTATTATAATTATATTTATTATGATAATTAATACTATTTATTAACATAATTATTTTTAATCACTATAATATTATTTTTTAATCACCGTAACAATTTTTTTTAATCACTACTATTACTTTTATTGTACTTGTATTATAATTATTATTACTTTTTATTTTTATTAAGCCTGACAGGTTTAATAAAAATAAAAATTTACTTTATATTAACATTTGTAAATATCCTTGATATAACAACTTTATTTAGAATATATTTTGATTTTATTTTATTTGTGTGTGCGATGTATATAAAAAATATATATATATGTATATATATATATATATATATATATATATATATATATATATATATATACTTAATAAGCATAACATAATAAAAACATTAACATTACAACATTTTTACCAAAAAACAAGGGTGGTTTAAGAATTCTCATCTGTTCTATTCTATTAAGTGCTTTATCTCCATCATCATAAAAAACATGATATTTATCTCCCTCTATTTTTGTAACAGTACCAGCAAGAAATGCAGATAAGCCTGTCCAATGAGCAATGACACGAGTTCCAATTTTTATTTCATTTGCATTTGGATTCATATCATAAACTAGACTAGTTTCATCGTTTCTAAATGAAGAGATAAATCTCCAATACTATAATCAAATTATTTTTTTGCACAAAAAAACAACAACAAAAAATCATGATTTTAAAATTTTTTAAAATATATATGATTTTTTTCTAAAAGTTTCAATGTTTGAAACATTTAAATTTAATAAATACTCTTTCCTAATTTTAATAAAAGAAGTCAAGTTAACATAGGCAGTAGCAAATACTGGAAACTGACAATGGATTTTTAAGTTGAAGTTAATGGTACACCCATGTACCATGTACAAGTACACTTAACCTCAAAATCTAGAAAAAATAAATATTAGGACAGTGCTGACCAGAATCCACAAAAGTAAGCAAGTATATATGCCAGTCCTTGAAATTAGGGCTGGCATTGGGCAATGGCAACCTAACTGCTAGAACACCTAAAAGTGTTTGAGTTTGGCAAAAAATCGCCGACCTTATTTCTATAACAGTTGATCTATAACAGTTTGAGGTCGGCAATTTATTTCTGATCTCAAACTGTTAGAGATCGGCATCAGGTCATCAGACAACTGTTAAACCTCATTTTACCTAATTCTGAGAGTTGATACATAACATGCCAACATATACATATCCGTCTGTTTTTGCAGATAAAGATAAATATAAGGTACCCTTCATACATAAATACTGCATACCAAAATAAAAAACTCTAAGTCAATATACTGAAGCTTTCACCTATGGCTATTTCAGTATGATTTTGTCAGTAACCAGTTGAAATTGTTGAGACATGTATTACTTATTTACTTAGATAATATAGTTCACTTGTTACAGCAATGACTTCACTTACTACAACACATGCTTCAAAAAGATTTTAATCATGAAACTATGTAACATTTCTTTTAAACTATAAAACAATTTCTTTTAAAACTTAATTTTCTTATGGTAACTTGTTGTAGTGGTTGCTGCTTTTAAATAGTTTAAATATATTTCAAAATTCTTGTATAAATTGATATAGATTAATTGCATAGATTGAAAGATTTTGTCTTTACTAAACTTTTCATTGTTTTTATGTGTCTTTCCTCAGATAAGAACACTAAAAATGATAGTACTTTACTTTGGTTCAAAAAAATACTTGCAAAATAGAAAAAAAAGATCAGCTGCTTAGTTCAACAACAAGGCACTTTTGCATTTTGCATCATTGAGAAAAATATTTAAAAAGTTTCAACAACATTCATTAAGAGATATGCAGATTAGATTTAGAAGTAAAAAAATGCAACAAAAAGGTCTTTAGCAAAAGCTAACTCACCCCACCTGTTTAATACAACAATCTCTTGAATATGACTTTTATGCATGATTATTAGGGGTATTAATAAACTAATATAGTAGACTGCACAAAATTTCAATAACTTTTAATTGTGTCCATAACAAAAGTTTAAACTTCTAAAATTTTGGTGAAAAACTTTTAAAAATAAGTTGAATCTTAGATAAATGTACACTTGAAAATTCTTGATTAACTGGAAAAAATATGACAATCAAAAACAGATAAGCGCAAGCAGTTTTGTAATAACTTATAATTAATTACTACTAAGATAATAGGTTAAAAAGAGCATCTGATTAATTTTGCTCTATAAAAAAGAAAATTTTCCTCAATAAAAAAAAAAAAAAGAAAAAGAATAATTGAAAAAAAAAATTGAAGCAAACAGGCAATCAAGGGAAATATTTCACCAGGTAAGAAGTTAATTCAAGTCGGGTTCATTATGATCACCTTGCCACTGGTAACACGTAATCCAGTACAACCAACCTCATGACCTGCTTCCTTCTAGGAAAGAACTTTTTTAGATAACAGCTAGTAGAAGTAATTTCTGACCTAAAATAAATTAGGTATAATTTTTTAATAACTTTATAAATAAGTCTTTTGGGTAAGACACTCTTTTTGTGCAGATGTTAACTTCATTCAGCTACTATTTTGTAGTAGACCAAATAAGCAAAGACTTTAGGGGTAGGCAGAAAAGTTCAGTTGACCAACTTTGCACTCCTTTATCTATTACGCTAGCATAGCTGTAAACCTACCTAAGATTACAATGAACACAGGATCTTCTTGACTCTACCTAAGGGTTTTTGTTTGTGCTTCTTTCTTTAACTTAGAAGTAACTCTTTTCAGAGTTACTTCTCAGTTAGAAGAAACAAATAAAATTCCATGATTATTTTTGTTAATTGTTATGTTATTAAATATAAATATTTAATTAATTTTATGTATATCTGCCATCAAATTTTTATATGCATGCAACATTTTCAAATTTTTGCTTTAATTTTTAAAAAACACCAGGTATATAAAGTGTTTTTCAATATTAGTTGACAAACTCTCAAGCAGGCCATGGACACACTTTCTAATAACTACTTATTGAAAATAAACTTTTCATATTTACAAATTTTTTTGTTTTTTGATGGTTTCGCTTTTTCCTCTGAAGATGTGTGTAGATGTGCAAAAACATCAGAGAGGCTTGTTTCTTCTGTTTCTTTCTGGCAAATTCAATGTTGTCCTTTATAAGATTATTATGAGGGAACATGCTATTAATTGGATATGCTGCATATTTTGGGAACTACTTTTGGATATGCTGCGTACTCCAGGCTGAAAAAAAGGAACTTACTGGATTCAATGTGAATTCAGTAAGTTCCATTGTTTCAGCCTGGAGTGTACTCCAGGCTGAAGCGATGGAACTTACTGGATTTAAAGATGTTCTTTTACATAATGGAAACCATATCCTTTTTACCTGTGGCTCACTCAATGCATTTGAAGGAAGATTACAACAAGATTATATTTTTGCTTGAGAAGATAAAGTACAACAAGTATCAACTGAATGTGCGTGGAGAATTAAAGTTAATTGGCTTATGCCCTGGCCAACAAGTTGGGTACACTAAATCTTCATGCTTACTATGTCTTTAGAACAGCAGAGCATCAAATTAACACTACTTGAGACTGGCAAGCATGCAGGCTAACAGCTGATAAATGCAATGTAATTCGTGATTGATTTTGCCAAAGATATTTCTCTTCCTACCCTTACATATCAAATTAGAGCTAGCCAAATAATTTGTTAAATCACTGGATTCACAGTCACCAGATTTTTAGTACATATTTTCCATGTTTCCTAATTTATCAGATGCAAAACTGAAACCCAGCATTTTTACTTATCATTCTATTTAGCAAATGAATAGTTACCACAGCTGAAGCCAGCCAGATGAAAAACAGTCTCCTAAAACTTTATGTAAAAATTTGCAAATACAATATTCTGGGCCATGAACATTTCTGTGACCATTGAAACTAAGCTTGGAGGCTTCGGTCCATTGAAATCCAAAGAATTATAGACCTCCATGTTGGCTCTCATTCAGTTTAATGGATATCCACACGATGAAATAATTAGCTGTCCACACCATGAAATAATTAGCTGTATAGCTTTTGAGCAATTTCTCTTATTTCTTAACATTTTTCATCAGCTATATCTAAGACAATAAGATAAGGCTCCAGAAAGGCTATATCAGTATGACTCAGATTGCTTACCTTAGTACGCAATACTATTTGTATATATATATATGATATATAATATATATATTATATATATATATATATATATATATATATATATATATATATATATATATATATATATATATATATATATATATATATATATATATATAAATTTACTTGAAGTTGTGTCAAACAGTGAGCTCGGCTCAAACGGTTCAGAGAAAGAAAAAGAAGATTTTCTATAACCTATCAAGAGTTAAAGAAGAAACTTCAAAAACCTGATACTGCTCTTCTTCTAAAAGATATTTTTAACTGCTGATACAGCTGTTGAGAAAGGAATAAGTCATAGGTAGCATGTTTTCATAGTTGAAAGTATAATTGCTAAACATCTGATATTTAGCTTCATTACAAAGGGAAAGAATTAGTTTTATATCAGTAAATGTTCAGATTTCTAATAAATAATGGCACACATGGTTTCTGGAGCCTTATCTTATTTTCCTAAGTATAGCTGATGAAAAATGTATATATACTCTCCTACTAGACTACCATAAAATAAAATAAGATAAAAAGGTAGAGAGAATTCTATTTAAATATAATTCTTAACTATTTCCACATATTATATATCCAGGAAAGCACTATTACTAACCAAGCCCACATTGATATCTTTAAAAATTTTATTCCAAGTGTTCTTTTATTAAGCAATACAATGCTTGTTTTAGCCAAAGAAAGATTTCTTTATTTATTGTTGAAAAAAGATCTTTTTATCAAAAAGCTCCTTAACAATACTATTAATTCAAAATAATTTGAAAATTATTTTTAGCAACACAACTTTATATATATATATATATATATGTTACTTTTACTTCTATTCAAACAACAAAACAGTAGCTTACCTTTCATGACTTATAGTATCACCATTTTCAAACTTTATGTGAACTTTTTCAGAAAGTGCTGTGACAGTACCTTTGTAATAATCTCCATTGAGTGCTCGAGCCCAAACACTTGAGCCTACCCGGATATAACCTTGAAGAAATTACACATAGTAAAAATTAAAAAATTTTAAAAACTCTAAACTACTAAAAATTCAATAAGTATTAATTAAAATTATTAAATATAAAAAAATGTTATGAAAAAAGACTTAATAACAATTTTTGTTTATCAAAATTAAAACTTTTTTGTAAGTTTTTTTTGCTGATCATACAAAAAACTTTTTTATAAAAATTTTCTCTTTTGATCAAAAAAATAAAACATTTTAAAAATAAATTTTTTAGTTCACAAATTATACTTTCAAGTTTCTGAAAAGATTTAGTCTTTTTTCTGCATTAACTTTATTTATTAATTATTATTTTTTTAAACATTACATATACTTTATATTTATTTATACCATTACATGATACTTTTTTTATTATAATGTTATTTATTTTATTTTTAATTTATTATTATGTCATCTTTTAAAATATAACTTGTTTCAAACATTTTTTGCACTTGACTTTTTAAACAATCAAAAGAAAAAAAAAAAACAGTATAAAAAAAGCATTTTACTTATAAATGAAAAATTAATTTTAAACAACAACCTATTGTTGAACGTTGCGCGAATCTTTCACTTCTTGTTCTGCAAAATAAATAAAAATTTTGAGCAAATAATATAAGGTATAATGTGTTTTAACAAATCACAACTATAAAATAAAGTAAATTTTAGTTCATGTGTTTTCGACACATGAACTAAATTAAATTATACACATAAAGAAAATTAAATTAAAAAAACTTGTAGATCAAAAAAACCTTTTAAACAACATTGTTCTTCTAGCATTAGCCCCATCATCTTTTGTAGCTTGTGCTAGTGTTTGACCACTGTAGCGAAATCGTGAATTAAAATTCAAAAATCCACTAGTCTTTTCAGGAACAGATGTAGGTGCAGTTAACCTATACTTTCACAAGAACAATCTCTATTAAATACCACTTTTAAACAATAAAATATTCAACATCAATTTAATTACCCAAAAAAATCTTAGCTTTGTTTAAACAAACCTAAAAAATGTGTGGTACTCAATTGCACACTTCCATAAATGCTTACTAGCTTGAGGAGAGGAAAGCTCATATCTGTATTCCTCTGATTCACTCTAAACAAAATAATATTTATTAAAAATTTCTAGAAAAAATTAGTCTTTCAAAGAACTTTTAAATAAATAATGAAAAATGTAAATATAATCTCGAAAAAAAGGCTTTTTGCTTTAATACTAAGTATTACTTAAAAAAAAAACAGATAAAAAATAAAAAATTTAACCTCAGCTGTGTGAGCACACAGAAAAAATCTGCTATGCTTAAATGTAATATTTGTAATATTTTGCCTAAAAATATAAAAGTAAAAGTACTATAAAAAATTAAATTTTACAAGTAAAACATATCTTATTAATGAAACAAATCTCATAAGAAAATCCCCCTCCACCTTCTTCAAAAATTAAAAAATATAAAAAATACTGCTGTAATGGTGACAATAATTATATTAAATCTGAAATTTATGATTATTGAATTAATTGTAAATAAACAAAAAAGTAATACCATATATAATAGCTCAATTTTTCCTCATTTCTAAATATATATACTCCATTTGGCGTTATGCCAACTGTGTATTGTTTACCATCTTCACCCTAAAAAATTTATTTTAAAATAAACGAATGAAGTATCAAAATTAAAAAGTTCGATTATAAAAGAAAATTATTAAGCAATAAATAATTAATTTTATTTTTTGCTGATGTTGTTTTTGTTAATCTTCAATCCATTTTTGTTAATCTTTAATACATTAAAAAAGATTTTTGTTTATTGTATTGTCTATTTTTATTAATATTATTATTAATAACAATATTGTTCTCACTGTTATTAACTTTTTACTATATGTAAATATCCCTGAAATATCTTTTTCAGACTATATACAATTGATTATTTGAATACATCATTTTCGATAATATAAATGGCTACAAAACATAAACAAGAAAATCTGTCAAATTTCTTTTTGCCTAGACCTACACTGGCAGAGATACAAATCATGCTTTGTCATTACAAGTTACCAACTTCACAAAAAATTGTTTATCATCACAGCCTGAAGAACCAACTAGTATACCAAGGAATTCTTTAGTTTCCTCAGCTAGTCAGATGGCGTTGCTTGAATTGTCTTGAACTGGATGTAAGTAATGCAGTTAAATGCTACAATAATGTGACCTCAAACACTTTCAGGTCGGCAGTTAGGTCGCCATTGCCGAATGACGACCCTAATTCCGAAGGTTGAATAAATAATTATGATTTTAACACGAGTTTTAAATAAAAAATCTTAATTAATGTGTTGAAATCATATTTATAAACTGCACATTATACTTATATAAAAATCAATAACTGGGATTTAAAGCAAATTTTTCAAATAATACACTTTATTCAAACTTTAGGAAGTGATGGAAGGAACTTTTGTCATTTTGAAACTTTACTAGCAGATATTGCTCTTGATGCTAAATACCAGTTTTCTGAGAACTCAAATTTGATCCAGCCATTTGATTTAAGCCATTCATATACATTTGTATTTTGAAGCAAAGATTTTTGTCTGAATAACTTTTCCAAGAGATGATCAGAAGCATCTTATAGACCATACTACTTTTCATTTTAACATCAACTCTGATAAGTTAAAAAGTTTTGAAATTTATCTGCATGGTGCCTACCACACAGCTTGTTTCATGTCAGATTCCGTATACCACTTGGTTCTTAAAATTTCATTACCAGTAACTGATTATCTACATAAAAAATAAAAAAAAAACGTTTCTATTGTATTATAAATTGAAATTTTAAAAAGACTTGTTGCTTAGCATTCTTTTTTAATATAATTTCAAAGTTTTTAATAATGCATTTTTTAATAATGTACAAACTATACATAAACAATGGAAGTATGAGGTAATACAATTGAATTGAAAAATATGCACGCTCCTTTTTGGTACTTGTCTCCTAAAGATAAGATACTTTTGGAACTTGTCTCCTAAAGCAGTTATTATGGTTCTAACTAATTTGAGTAAACGTAAAGTGTAAAAAAATAGAACTTATAAATTAAGAAAGATCAACAGTTGTTATTCATAATGGCGTCCTATGATTCAACCGAAGCCCTAATTTCAATTTAGAACCGAATATGAGAAATTTATTACACGACCAAAAATATTTACGAAAAAAATTAGAACCGAAAAAATTTCAATCGAATTTTCGATCGAAAGTCATTAATGATTTTAGAACCGAAAAAATTTTGATCGAATTTTCGATCGAAAGTCATTAATGATTTTAGAACCGAATTTCATTAAAATGGTTTACAACCGAAAGTTACACTGTTATCAAACATTGTATATATATATATATATATATATATATATATATATATATATATATATATATATATTTTAAAGAAATTTTAATTGTTTATTTTATTGTAAAACCACTAACTGAAAAAAAAAAAAAAGATTAAAAAAAGAAAGGATTTTGTAATTCGATCCAAATTTTTTCGGTTGTAAAATTCGGTTTAAAAACTTTCAGCGCAAGAAAGGATTTTGTAATTCGATCCTGCAATAAAAGTATACTTTTCGGTTCTAAAATTTTCAGTTGTGAAATATTTTGGTGATATTTTCGAGGATAAATATTTTCGGCTCTATCATGTGACACGATTCATAATGATGATACTCAATTAAAAGATTTGATAAAAGGATAAATTTGGTTTCTTTTTATCAAACTGGATATAGTTAGATTAGGTTTTGGTTCACCATTCATAATAAACTCTGAAGATCTAGAATCTAACAATAACTTTGTTTTTTTTATTAACAAACTAACTGTAAAAATATTTTTCTAACTAACCACTCTTGGAGTGGTTAATTAAAAAAATTTATTCATTAAGGTGTGCCCAAATGTATTTCAAATTTTGACAAATGTTACAAAATTAGTCAAATTTGTTACAATTTAAATGTTTAATTAGTTTAACATATTACTTTGTATTGGATTTTAACACTCAATTGGAATTTATTTAATGGTAATAAAAAATATTTTTAAAAGGTTGTTTGTTCAAACGTGCTAAATCAACGTGTTACTAAAGTCAACCATTGTTGCAAAATTGTCATTTAAATTACTTACTCTGATGAATTTGCAAAAAGTTGTTATCTGATACTAAGTTCCATTCTTCTCAGATAACTAAATTTTAAAAGTTTTATTTTTATTTTAGATTCTAAATACTTACGGAAAATCTTTATGAAATTTTAAAAATCTTTAACAAATCATTAACAAGCCTAACTCTCCATCTCTCATACATAGGTCTTTTATGCGATTTTAAATTTGAAACTAATGATTTGGTTTTTGATTGGTTTGGTTTTGGTTAAAAACAAAATAAATTGTTTTGGAGATTATTTATTTCATAAAATTAGAATGATTTTTAAAACCACTAAAAGAAAACTAAACTTTTAAAACCACTAAATATATTTTAAAACAACTATAAATAACTTTTATCTTTTTAAAGTTTTCTTTTAAAAAACAACCTTGTCAATATTTTTACCTGACAGCATAATTTTTCTGGCAGTGGCCACTTAAACAGTAGTAGTAAAAATCCTCACTGAAGTTGAAGAAGTTGTTGATATACATAAGTATTTCTGTGCATAGTTAGATAGAATTAGGTACTGCAACTTTATTACTTTCTACCACTCTACACACTAAAATTTGTATAGTTTTTTTTGTTGTTGCCAATTTAATTGTTGTTAAAACACTGTGTGCTGTTAAAATTTGATGAAAACTTCAACTGTTAAGAAAAAGCTTCTATTTTACTCATATTTTGCAAGACCAAAATATAAAAAATCTCAAAACTCTTAAACTGTTCTGGTCCTCAAAATATGCTTATAATTTCACATAATAACTTATTTTAGTAATATATAGTCATGTTTTCATTCTTTCCTCTTTCACTTTGCATTTCTTTGATGTGAAAATTCCCAAGTTAAATAATTAAAATATATTATTTGATAATTTAGTTTTGAATAAGATTTTGGTATTTTAAAACTTTTATATATTGGTTTTTTTCAGGGTTTTTTTTTTGGTTTGGATTTATTTTTATTTAGTTTTTTAAATAGGTAGATTGGTTCGGTTTTTACTAAAGAACGATTCAGTTTAGTTAACCGCGTTACTTTAGTATTAAAGTTTTTCTTGAAAGCCTACAATATACTTCACCTTCAATAACTTCTAGGGTACCGCAAGGTTTAATGTTTGGTTCTGAGTTGTTCCTCATCTATATTTATGATCTACCTGATAATCTTATCTCTATTTACTAATAACACAACTTTTACATTAGTCTCAACTAGTCATCACTTTTTGAATACTTAGAACAGGCAATCTTGAATGTGATTTTTCATTTGTGACAGATAGGGGAATGACTCAAGTTACGGGTTGTTTTTTTTTTTAAATCTTTGCTTCAAACAAGGTTGCAAGCAACCACTATTAGAGTTGGAAGTTACTGTAAGAGAAAAGATGAAATTTAAGAGCAAGATAACGATTGACAGAAACTTAAAAAATTGCAAATTATATGAATCAGGTAAGCAAGATGAAGGAAGCGAATTCCATAGAACTGATGTACGAAGAAAAAAAGCCAAGGATAGAACCTTGAGGAACCCCTGAAATTAGAGGATATGAAGAAGAGTGCTGTTCATTGAGGACAACTTTTATACTTCAATTGGAAAGGAAGGATTCAATATTCTTAAAGATGTTACCTGATACACCGTAAGAAGAAAGCTTATGGAGAAGACCAACATGCCAAACTTTATCTAAAGCTTTAGAAATGTCAAAAGCGATAAACTTAACCTCATATATATAGTGTATATATATATGTATATATATATATATATATATATATATATATATATATATATATATATATATATATATATATATATATTGTAGACTTTAACCTCAATTTATTAGTTTTAATCTCTTTTTTATTTTTTATATGGACATTTAATCAAGTGCTGCACATCCAAAGTAGCCTGGCATTTTTACATAAATATAAGTCATTAATTTACTGACTTATACTGACCTCATAATATTCTTCTACAATTTTTTCTTGTATATTTTTTTTCTGAAGAAAATTATACAAGACTCTTTGCTTTATCATTTCTTCCCTAAACATCAACTATTATCAACACTGCTTGTATTAATTTGTTTTTTTAACAGTTTAAATATTTTAACAGTCTTGCAAGAAAATATTTTAAAATAAATTTCTTTGATTTGTAAGAAAATATTTTAATGAATTAATTAAATGTAAAAAAATATTTCAAAATAAATTTCTTTGATTTTATGAAACAAAATCATGTGATTGCAACAAAAAAATTAAAAAGATGTGTAATAAAATTGAAATTAATAAGCTTCAATCTTTAGAAAACAGAGTGCTTTTCGTCATAAAACAGTGTAAATGTAATTAAAAAAAACAAATTTAAAAATTAAAAATAAAAAAGTGTAACTAATAAGTAACTGATTTAATGGTAATATTTAAAAATATTTTTCTTGAAAACTTATTTAAAAAATCCATACTTTGACTGCATGCTTATCCATCCCATAGTACTCCAGTTTGTTTGCTATAGTTAAATAATTGATTTCACATTGAGATGGATTCATACCACTAAAAATGTTAAAAAATATATATATATTATATTTATGATTTAAAGACAACTAAAAAATCACTTAAAATATTCAAAATAACTTAATGATGTTGTGTTAGCAGAACAGAACCCACCATGATGTTAGCAGAACAGAATCCACCATGATGTTAGCAGAACCCACCATGTACCATATAGTATATTACTTACTTTATTACTGATACTTATTTTGTAAAGCTAATTTATTAAGATATCTAGTTTAAACTTTTTTAAACAGATAGGTAATGACTATCATTAAAAAAATACTATCCTCCTCTGTAGTGGATTCAGCAGCTTACACCCAACACAACCATGAAAGAGACAAACAAAAAAATATATACCATAACAGTCTGTGCTTTTTCTCTACTGCTTTTTCTAGCTCGTTGCTCTAAAATAAATAACTTTCATTAAATATACACTATTTAAAGATTGTGTGCAATGTAAAGCTACATTATGCAAATTATTTTACAGAATACATTTAAACATTAGCATCAGACAAAGAAACACAACCACATGTTGTCTAATTTTGAGTTGAGTTAATTTGACTGTAATTTTAGAGTTTGTTAGAAAAAAATTCAATTCTAAAATTAAAAAGTAAATAATAAAATTAAAAAAACAAAAAAATTCAAAAACCTGATTAGGAACCAGCCGAAATTCTGAAACATAATTTCCACAATGAACAGTGGCATCAAAATCACCAATTTCAGCTAAATTATAACAATTAGCAAATTTTAAATTAAGAAAATGATTTTATATAATCATTAAAAACACATACAAAACAAAGTTATGAATAATTGAAGATAAGTATAAGAAAAAAGATATGTATAATGGTTTGTCAAGATAAAGCTCAAGTTATAGTAAAGTAAGGCTTATATTATATAGCTTGTAGTAAAAATAATATTAAATCAAAAAACAAACATTGTACAGCTAATGCTCCTAATTCGACAGCTTGCTTAAGAGTAGGCTTCATTCTAGAAAATTAAATATAATCATATAATTTATTTACTTGATTTGCCACCTTTTTATATTTGTTTTTAAGATTACCATTCAAAGTTTAATTATATCTAAGTATGCTCTAATGGTTGTGTATATGTATATACACATACACACACTCATACGAATATATATATATATATATATATATATATATATATATATATATATATATATATATATATATATATATATATATATATATATATATATATATATATATATATATATATATATATCTATGTATGTATATATATATATATATATATATATATATATATATATATATATATATATATATATATATATATATATAAACACACACACACATATATCTTGTTTTTGGAGCAAACCAATAGATCTATGTGCTATGAACAGCTATTTAAAAATTCCGTCCACAATATAAGCAAACACGATGGAGGTTTGATAATGGTGTAAGGCTGTTTCAGTGGCATGTTGGACCCAGTGTTGTTTCCACATGGACCCTAAGCTTTTTATATAAGAAGGGCCTTTTTGAAAAAAAAAATTATTTTACTATATTAATTATTTTACTTTATATAAGCAACAAATAATTTTTTATTCACTTTATTTATGCTTCACAAATTAAATTCCACTGACATACACAATTTTCCCATACAACAATAAGTGTATTTATATAAGTTTTTTACACTGATTTCAAACCTGAAAATTATTTTGCTGTATCACATTGCATTCCAAAAAAAAACTCGGCTCAAACATTTTTTCAAAATAAGTATGTTTTCATACTCTGTTTTCATAATAAATATTATTGATATGGTTACTCGAAAATCTTTGAATTCTTCTGATTTATTTTGCTACGTTTGTGGATTTTTTACTGATGTTGACCACCGGAAAACAATGACCCTTTTATTAAAAAAATAATGAACTTTATTTTGACTCCAAAGTTGAAGATACAAAGAAATAGTGGAAACCTTTATCAAACCTAATTTATTGAGTAAATAATGCAGAGTTTTCAGATCTTATACATGATCTCTCTTAGACAAAAGGACAGGCAGAGCTTCTTGAATCTCAACTGAAACAGTGGAATTTGTAAGCACCTGATGTTAAAATATGTAAGTTTCACTTCAAACACAAGGAGCTTATGCAGTACTTTACATCAGATGATAATATCTGCTACTCCAATGATATTGACAATCTCATGGCACATCTTGAGCATGAAGTCAAAAACTGACGTCTCTTCATCGATGCATCAAAAACTAGCCTAAAGTTTGTGCTGCTACATTACGGCAATGTGTTGCCATCCATTCCAGTTGCATACTTAACACAGTAGAAAGAGACTTATGACAATATCAGTAATGTTTTAATAAAAATAAAATATAATGGTTGCAAATGAAGAGTGCGTGGAGATTTAAAAGTCATTGCAATCCTTATGGGTCTACAACTCAGATACACAAAATTCTGCTACTTCCTCTGTGAATAGAATAACCAAAATGAAGATGCACACTATAAAAAAAGATTTGGCCTACTAGGGATCGTATGGAACTCGGTTACTAGAGATTGTATGGAACCCAGTCAAAAAAATGTTTTGTATGAACCACTGGTTTAAAAAAAAGACATCATATTACCATCTTTACACATCAAGTTGGGTCTGATGAAAAATTTCGTAAAAGCTTTGAATAAGATAAGTGATACCTTCACATATCTTCCTTCTATGTTTCCACAAATAAGTGATGCAAAAATAAAGGAAGGAATTTTTGTGGGCCCTCAGATCAGAAAGATAATAGGTGATTAATAATAAAAAATAAAAAGATAATAGGTGATCAACATTTTCAAGATCTACTAAGTAGAAAAGATCTTGAGGCATGGTTAGCATTTAAATTCATTGTTGCCAACTTTTTGGGAAATAATAAATCTAGCAATTACATAGAAGTAGTTAAACAGTGTATAGATGCCTTCCAGAACATGGGATGTAAGATGTCTTTTAAAATTCTTCTTCTTAATTCCCATCAAAACTTTTTTTCCAGAATATCTTGGCGAAGTCAGTGATGAGCATGGAGACTGTTTCCAACAGGAAATTGCTTTGATGGAACCACGATACCAAGGACAAAGGCTACTCATTTGCCATGCTAGCAGACTACTGCTGGTTGCTCAAACAAGATGTCCCAGAAGTAAAATACCATTGAAAGTCAATATGCAAGAAGTTTAAACCTCCTTAATAAACTTGATACTTGTTTTCTATCAAATTGTTTATGAGCAAAAATGACAAAACTTTCTATTTATTTCTTTTTTTTTAATAAAATGATATATTTTAAATAATAATAAAAGTCTTGATAAAATTTTAAAAATATTTTCATTGATAATAATGTTAAAGTAGTCAATATTTTAAGTTTTCTTAAAATTTTAATGTGATACAAGCAAATAGATCACATTTGAAATTGGCATGCTAAAATTAACAAGAAAAACATCCATTCGCTAAAGAGAGTAAAATTTTTTTTGTAAGTCAAAGTTTTTTAATTATTTGATTAAAAGTGTTAAACTTTGAGCACTTATATATTAGTATTTTGTGTAATAAAATGAAAAAATCAGGAATATATTACCCTTATATTTGTCTTAATTTAGCTTTAAGCTGATGGTTGTCTCAATTTTTTTGAAACTTTTCTTATTTTTTGTATGGGTAATGACTTAAAAAAAATAAAAAAATGCATATTGCAAAATATTTAAGTTTGTATTTACAGAAAACGTTTTGGAAATCCGTAAAAACAAAAAGTTGAGAGAAATGTCAGGAATGTATGAATAAATGAATTTTTCATTCAAAACTGTGTTTCATCAATAAAGACTCATCAGAAATAAATGATCAAATTAATAAAACTTTTTTATACCAATTTATGCCTATAATTATATATTTTTTTAAATATATTATTAATGGAGGATTTATTATAATTATTTTTGAGCTCACTTATTTTTATAGTTTTTTAGGTGAAACTTATTTTCATGCCTGCATTTAGAATCAATACCAATTTTTTGTTTAATAAACATTCTTGGTTTGCATGTGTAATTATTTCAAATTTTTTTGTAGGCATAGTATGCATTTTTTTGAAATATTGTTATATGCAGGTGCTGTTTTAAAAATGGACTTATTCTATATAAAATCATCAATATTTTTATCTTTTATATGATTTTGACAGCATGGTGTCTTTTGAATACTTTTTACTTTTAAGGAATTGTTTATGATTGGAAAAATATTTTTTCCATTCACCCTCTGTTAAGCCAATATATTGTCTATAAGGTACATTCTTAAAGGAAACAACACATTTATATGCAATGTTTTTTAATAAACAATTTCCCCTCATTGGACAACTGTTTTTTTGTTTAGAGTTATAATTTTCTGTTGTTTTTTTATTTAGGATTATCTATGCTGACAAGAAAAATTTGAAATAATTATACATGCAAATCAAGAATGTTTATTAAACAAAAAATCAAAATTGATTTCTAAATGCAGGCACAAAAGTAAGTTTCTCCTAACTAACTATAAAAATAAGGGAGCTTAAATAATAATTACATTAAATCCCCTTTTAATAAATGTTTAAAAAAAAGCAGAAGCAATTAATTCTAAAGAATTTTTTTTATAATAGTGTCAGCATATTCCACAAAATGTGTGAAAATTTACAGTATTTAAGACATTTATGACTTCTTGTAATTTAATTTTTGGTATAAACTGAAGTTTTTATTTTGATCATTCATTTCTGATGAGTCTTTATTGATAAGACTGTTAAAATTTTTTTAAGTGATTTTCTACTACTTTATTATTGCTCTGTTCTTTTAAAAAATTGTTTGAATGTTACACAGGGTAAGATGTTGATAAGAATAACCTGACAAACTATAAAATAAAAAAATAAAAATGCAATTAATTAATTATATAAACATGGACATAGCATAAATTGAATAAATGAGTAGTAGTAGAATTTAAAAGCTGTTGGTTTTGATTGGTTTAATGGCTTTTTCAAAAAGCTACAAAGGAAATTTATTGACAAGACCTGAAATTACATTTTTTTACAAATAAAGATTTAAGCCCTTCATTTTCTTGTTTCTATATTTCCTTTTCTCCATTTAAAACATACCCGAGCCTAAGATAACCTAATGTTGCATCACTTAAGTGGACCACTGAACCACAGATGCCTGGCTTAGTGAGATATGAAGATAACCAATCAACAACAGTAAGAATAGCTGAAATCAGATAATATACCATATTGTCTAAAGAGTTACAAAGAAACCAAATTGTAAAAAAAAATCCAAACAAGCAGACGTAGCAACCAATTCACATTTTAATGCTGCAGTTCAGTTGGCTAATACAACTTAGAGTGGAATAAAAAAGCAGTAAAAAAAAAGCACCAATAAAAAAATAGCAACAAAAATTATTCAATTTTAAGTTTTTTTTATTAACAAAGGTTAATAAAATTGGAAAAAAACGTGCAGGGCCTAGGTTAGCTAAAATTATTGAACATGATAATTGTCATATGATAAGATAATTGTTTGTATTGAAGAGCAACCCAGAAAAATAATTAGAAATGAAGTTCAGGTAAACACAAGGTAGATGGCTCATCTTCAAATATTGAAGACAGATTGTTGATTGCTATGGTGGTAGCTATAAATGCAGCATATAAACCTAAAAAGTGTGTTATAACTAAAGATTCTAACAAAGACCTCAAAAAAAGAATTGCAAATGTATGAGAATATTTGAAATATCACAAATAATTTAAATAAGCTGTTTGATGCCTTAACATGCATACAGCTAACCTCAATATAAAGCAAGAAAGCAGCTAACCTCAATAGAAAGCAAGAAAGCAGCTAACCTCAATAGAAAGCAAGAGAGTATTTTTATTGTCGTCTAATTATTGCTCAAAATGAAGATCATCTTTAATCTCTAGACTGCCTCACAATTTTAAAAAGTTATTTCCTAACCAAATAAGTTTGATTTTAAAAAGTTATCTCCTAACCAAAT